AGAGCGGGAGAGGCCAGCTCCAGGCAGCAGGCCAAGAAGCAAGACAGCCTTTATCTTTCCCTTGAGCCTAAGCATTCGTTCTTGACGGGCCACCTCAACCCTATATTAGACAGGGAGGAGTGTGGAGCTCACTTAGTGATGTGAGAGGGATGCAACAAAAGAGGGAGAGAGCCATGAGGTCCCCAATCACGTTTAACCCATCCTCGCCGAGGTCTCCTAGTGAAGACAAAAGGGCATTCAGATCCTGGCTGTCTCACTTCTACAGCCCACAGCGAAACAAGCAATGAGAAACCACCACGGAAATAAAAGGGCCCCACGGAGGCCGAGAACTGCCTGTGCAAGCACTGAGGCTGCCCTTTTATGGTCTGGAAAAGGAACCAGAAGTGGCACTGTGTCTGGCACAAGAGTGACACCTGGTGTCTGGCAATGGAGGGAAGGAGGGGAAGGGCCCTCTGGGCTCTTACCGGCACAGAGGGGCCTGGGACTGGTGTGGACTGCGTCACAGTGGTCACAGCCCGCGTCAGCGTGGAGGACACAGTGGTTGTGGTGGCACTGGAGCTGGTGATGTTCACGCTATCACTCTGGGCGCTCTCCACCTCTCCCTGATCGCTGGCAGCTGGTGGGGGGTCTGCGGGGATGACAGGTAGGCAGCTTTACCACCATAGGCCCTGCCATCCTCAAATACAGTCCTTGAGTGGCTAGAGCAGGCTCCTAGAGACTACCCCCATGGGTGGGACCTAGCCAGGATGCCCCCCACTCTGCTGCAACCCAGCTGTCCGGGGCTCTAGACAGATGTGAGCCGAGGGTCTAGTTGCCCTTGCTCACCTTGGTTCGAGCTCATGTTGGAGGTGACAGTAGTGGCCGTGTGGGTGGTACCAGTCTCATGGGTCTCACATGGGGGGTTGGAGCACACCCTTTGTGTTGGAAAAGGAGTCAGCAATGTGGCGCTAGCCTGGGAGGTGACGGTGGTCGGCGCTGCCACCTCCAAGCCAGACTCCAGGGTCCTGTGGGAAGGGGTGGCATCGGGAAGCAGGGTGCCCACACTGACTGACATGGTAGTGCCAGTGGAAGTGGTCTGGTGCGTCTCACAGGGGCGGCCTGCAGGGAGCTGCTGCCCACCCTCAGGTTGGCCTGCACCCCCATTGGAGGTGGCGGTGGTGGCTGTGTGGGTGGTGCCTGTCTCGTGGGTCTCACAAGGGGGATTAGAGCACACCCGCTGGGCGCTGCCTGGGTTGTGTTGGTGGTGCCTGTCTCGTGGGTCTCACAAGGTGGGTTGGAGCAGACTTGGGTCACAGTGGCCGAGGGGGCCAGCAGCACCTCCAGGGCCATCCCAGTCATGGTGGCACCGAGCGAGCTGGTCTGGAGGCTGTCATATGCAGGAGTGGGGGCACCCCGTGCCACGCTGGGCTCCCCCGCACCCATGGTGGAGCAGGCCGTGCTGGAGGTGCTGGTCGAGTGGGTGTGCTGCATCTCCAGCTGGCGCCCCACAGGCATGTCCTTGTTGGCATTCAGAGGGGTCAACTGCACAAAAGCAGTGCTGTGGTCCCCGGCCTCCAGTGCCACACTGGGTCCGAGTGGGCTAGCTGAGCACGGAGCCCCTGTGGCCATCACAGTCATGGTGGTGCTGGTGGTGCCGGTCTGGCGAGTTTGGCACTGTGGCTTGACAGCACCCTGAGCACCCCCCATGGCCACACCGAGCCGGACTGCGGCAGGGGT